CTTGCCTTTAAGTCTTACAGCTATAGCCCCATACATCATGTAGCAAAGACAAAGCATAGCCTCATACCATATGTGAATTTCTGACTGAAAGAAGTATTGATTTAATTGGGTTAAGAAAGCAGTAGAGGTATTTCTGCCAGACAAAAGAGATTAAGCAAATGTACAGAACACAAGACAGCATGGTTTACATAGAAAACTGTAAGTTTGGTATTGGTGGAATAAAAGAAAAGCAGGAGGTGACAGGAAACCAGGCTGCAGAGGATGGAAGGGTTATAAAACATAGAGGGCCTTATATATAAAGTTATGGACCCTACGACAACAGTATTTTAAGCAGGGGAGTGATACAGATTTGAAAATTTAGGCAGATAATCCTGCAAAGCTAATATGGGAATAAATTTAAGAATGGAAAAGCCTTGAAGGAAAAAAACGTCAGGAGGCTAATGCAATAATGAGGCAAGCAAGAAATTATGGGGATCTGAACTATGGGAAAAATGGCTGGACAAAACAAGAATTGAGAAATAAGAAATGAAAGTCAGAAAGACTTGATGACTAATTAGGATGTGTGTATATGAAAGGGGTGGGTGAGACAAAGAGAAGATCTGAAGTTAATGCCCAGGCTCCTACCTTGGGTAGAGAGTGGTATCCCCAATGAAATCAAAAATAAAGGAAAAGGATCAAGTTTAGAAGAAAAAGTTTAGTTTCCATCTTGGTGAGTTTGGAGTATCCATGGAACATCTAGATAGAAATGTGTAATAAGAAGTTGTATATTTAAGCCTTAAATTAGGGGGAAAGGTCAAAACAGGAATACAGATCTAAGCATCTTCAGTATATAAGGTAATTATTATATGAGACCCATGATAGGACTTAAGAATCACCAGAGAGTATTTACAGAGCAGTGGTTCCCAACCAGGGACAATTTTGGCCCTAGGGGAAATTTCTGGTTGTCATAACTGGGGTGGGAGCAGGGGGTATTATGGGCATGTAGTGGGTAGAGCCAGGGATGATGATAATCATCCTACAATGAACAGAAGAACCCCATACAACAAAGAATTACCTAACCCAAAATATCAATAGCTGAGAAACCCTGTTATAGAGTAAGAGGAAAAGCAGAATGAAGGAAGCATCTTAGGAAAACCAATATTTAGGAAGTACCCATAAGGAAAAGTCAGAGAAGAAAATGTGCTGACATGGAGGTCAAAGCAGTAGAGAATTTCAAGGAGGAAAAAAAAAAAGACCAAAGTTGAATTCAGGCCGGGCGTGGTGTCTCACGCCTGTAATCCTAGCACTCTGGGAGGCCGAGGCAGGTGGATCATTTGAGCTCAGGAGTTCGAGACCAGCCTGAGCAAGAGCAAGACTCCATCTCCACTAAAAAAAATAAAAATAAATTAGTTGGACAACTAAAAATATACATATAAAAAATTAGCCGGACATGGTGGCGCATGCCTGTAGTCCCAGCTACTCGCAAGTCTGAGGCAGTAGGATTGCTTGAGCCCAGGAGTTTGAGGTTGCTGTGACCTAGGCTGGCACCATGGCACTCTAGCCCGGGCAATAGGGCAAGACTCTGTCTCAACAAAAAAAAAAAAAGAAGTTGAATTCAGTGCATTGGACTTTATAATAAAGATTTTAAACTATCCATTGGGTCTGCAATTAGAAAGTCACCACAGTGAAAGGAGGGCCAGACTGCAACAGGTAGAAGAATGATGGAAGATGAAAAAATACACAAAGTAGACACCTCTTAAGAAATTTTATTAAAAAGGAAAAGAAAGAGATCGGGCATAACTAGAGCAGTGATTCTCAACCCTGGCAACAATAAGAATAACCTCAGGAGCTTTTAAAAAATACCAATACCTGGACTCACCCCAGACTAATGAAATCACAATCCCTGGGGGTGGGGCCAAGGTACTGGTATTTTTAAAAATATCCTCAGTGACACTAATGTACAGCCAGGATTAAAAACCATGGAGCTAAAGGGTAAACGGGTAGTCAAGGGGCATAAAGGGGGAAATGGGAGCAGGAAGAGGAAAACGGATGAAACAAAATCCCAGAAGAAATAGGTAAGGAATGGGTCAGGAACATGTGCTGACAGGTTTGCCTTTAGAAAAAGAAAGGACACCTCATCTCGGGAGACTGGAGAGAGAAATGAATGTTGAGACAGAGAAGTTGGGCACAGGGATTTGGGGAGTTCATGCCTAAAGTCCGAATTTTCATAATGGAGAATATAAGTCAGCAGCTGAGAATCAGCTATTAGATAGGAAATTTGGAGAGTGAAATTTGGTAAAACTCAAAATATTTGCTGAGGGAATGCAAAACAAAAGATAAATCAAAAGCACTGACAGTCCAATGGAGATTAAATGCACTTTACTATCTGCAGGGCCACCAATGGGCACATATATGTGATTTTCCTTTAGCAGTGCTTAACCATCCTAGTAAAGGAACAAGGAAAAGTAGACCACAGCATTGATCCAAAATTGGTGGTTTAGTGGGTAGGAAGGAAAAAAAAAGATAAACAGCACAGGAGGTAAAGGTTTAGATGAACTGTACTTGAAAAAAGCTCAACAATGGGGTTTCAAACAGGCAGAGAAACACCACATGTACTTTCTAATAAACTGGTACTAACTGATGGGCACACATGGGCACAGAGGGAAGTAAAAGTCATTGGAAATCATGCAGGGGGGAAGGAGGAGGAGGGGAGGGGCAAAAACCTACCTAATGGGTACAATGAACACTATTCAGATGATGGGCACACTAATAGCCCTAACTCAAACATTACAAAAGCTATCCACATTAAGAAAAATATTGGTACCCCCTTAATATTTTGAAATTAAAAGAAAAAGAAAATCTACATGTAGTCTAACTGGCGCAGGATATAATGGAGTTGCCTCTGGGCACCATAGCTATTAAAACGATCTAAAATTTCATTGATTTTTGTCCTAGACAATCCCATTAAATCTAATTTCCCAGATCCTGCATTTGTCCTAAGAAGGAAAGTCTGCAACTAACTTTGAAATGTACAAAAGATGAACTAATGAACAGATAGATGGATATGTGACAAAGCAAGTAGAGTAAAATGTTAATAGTAAAATCTAGAAAGTGTGGGGGTGGGAAGTGTAAACTTTAGAACAGCACTACCCAATAGAGCTTTCTAAGATGATGGAAATTTTCTATAATCTGTGCTGCCAAATATAGTAATTATTAGCTACACATGGCCACTGAGCCTTTGAAATGTAGCTAGTGGGACTGAGGAATTTTGGATTTTGAGTTTTATTAACTTTTAATTAATTTAAATTGATATAGCCACATGTGGCTAGTGACTGCCATATGAGACAGTACAGCACTAGATTCACATAGCCCTGGGTTCAAGTCCTGGATCCACCACTGGCTGTTACTTTACTTCTCTTTGTCTCAGTTTATTTTTATATAAAATGAAAACAGCAATAGCACCTATTACTCCATACAGATTAAACAAGATAAAGGAGATAAATCACAAAGCATAGTCCTGCACATATGACAAACACTAAAAATTAATGTTTATTATTCCTACTAAATGGGAACCATGAGATCAAGGACCACCATCTGTTTTGCTCACCACTGTATTCCCAGTGCCTACTACAGTGCCCCATACATAAAAGACACTCAGTAACATTTGTTACTATGCATGACTATTTTTGCAGTCTTAAGACTTTACATTTATCCTATTAATTTTCATATTAAGTCCACTGCTCCAGCCTGTTGAAATCTTTTTGAATTCTAATGTCATCTAATATGTTTCATATCTCTTTTAGTATCTTCTAAAATTGTGACAAATATATAGCTATGGTTTGAATGTGCCCCCCAAAGTTCTTGTGTTGGAAACTCAATTCCCAAACGTTGAGGAGAGAACTTTAAGAGATGATTAGGTCATGAGGGCTCTGCCTTCACAAGTGGATCAATGCCTTTATCATGAAAATGGATCAGTTGCCTCTTCCTGCCATCTTTCTGTGCCCCCATAATGGTCTGCATGCCATAATGGTGTGCCACAGTGGTCCTGGCTGAAGCTCTTAAGAGCATCAACAATGCCAAAAAGAGAGGCAAATGCCAGGTTCTTATAAGGTCATGCTCCAAAGTCATTGTCCGGTTTCTAACTGTGATGATGAAGCATGGATACACTGGGGAATTTGAAATCATCGATGATCACAGAAGTGGGAAAACTGTTGTGAACCTCACAGGCAGGTTAAACGAGTGTGGAGTGATCAGCCCCAGATTTGATGTGCAACTCAAAGATCTAGAAAAATGGCAGAATAATCTGCTCTCAACCCACCAGTTTGGTTTCATTGTACTGACAATTTCAGCTGGCATCATGGACTATGAAGAAGCAATAAGAAAACACACAAGATGGAAAATTCTTGGATTCTTTTTCTAGGGATGTAATACATACTCACAAATAAAATGCCTCAATGGAAAAATAAATAAAGTGGATCTGTTATTGTGGGGGTGGGTTCCTGATAAAAGGATGAGTTCTTTCTCACTTATGGGTGCTCTCTTGCCCTCCTGCCTTCCATCATTGGATGATGCAACAAGAAGGCCCTTGCTCAATGTGAGCCCCTAAACCTTGGACTTCCCAGCCTCCAGAAGAAGTAAGAAATAAATCTCTAGAGATTTTGTTTCTCTATAAGAAATGTATCTTTGATCTTTATAAATCACCCAGTCTCAGGTGCTCTGTTACAACAATACAAAATGGACTAAGACATATACCATCTACGTATTAATCTGAGACATTAATAAAAATGTTAACTAGAGACTTATAACATTAGTTTATCACCCTTTAGTTTAAAATCCAGGTGAATACAGACTAGATAATATGTGAGTACAAATATGCAATTTAGCTTCATTTTCATCCTGCCTATGTATCTCCACCTTGTTCACAAAGGTAGTAAGTATGAGAATTCTCATAAGGATCAGATTATGCTAATACGTCCTTCATTGAAACTACCCTTAAAGAGAACGTAAAAACAACAACTCACCCTTCAATAGCTGGAGATCTATCAGGACGAGTACTTCCTCTAGATCTGTATCTGCGAGTAACTGGTAGCCGTGGAGGCCGACTTGGTCCCCAGAAGTCAGTGTGGGTTTGGTGACCCCTCTCGTTGGCTCTATTATCTTGGTCCAGTGAATTGCTACTTAGAAATGGTCTAAAATCTTGAAAAAACATTGTGTGATCCAAATGGTCCCAGAGCTAGTAAAAAACAAAATTAAACCACATATTAGGAAAAAAGAATCTAATTAAACATCTGGATCATTTCTAGTTTTTTGCTATTACAAATGGCCACTATGAACATTATTGTATGTGTCTTCTGCTGCAAAAGTACAAAATTTCTCTATTTGTGATCTGTACAACTATTTTACGGTCTATACATCTTCTACCAGGTAATGCCAAATTGTTTTCCAAAGTGGCTGTACGAATTTACACATCCACCAAGAGTGTTTAAGAGTTTTTCTGTACTATGCTACATCCTGACAAGCACTCTGTATCATAGGACTTTTTTTTTTTTTAGTTTTTAATAATCTGGTAGATAGAGAATGATAACTCAGTGTGGGGTTTTTGTTTTGGGTGTGTTAAGAACCAAAAGGAAGGTTTATTAAAGTGCATATTCTTTGGCTCTATGCCAGAAACTAAATTTAATAGATCTGTGGTGAGCCTGAAAGATTCTCTTTAGTATTTCTTTTAGATCAGGTCTACTAATAATGAATCTTCTCAGCTATTGTTTATCTGGGGACATCTTAATTCCTCCTTCATTCCTGAAGGACAGTTTTGCCAGATCTAGAATTTTTGGTTGGCAGGGGGTTTTTTCTTCAGTACTTTAAAATATGTCATCCCACTGCCTTCTAGCCTTCATGGCTTCTGCTGAAAAATCAGCAGAAAGTAATCTTATTTAAGATCACCTGATGTTACAAGTTGCTTCTCTCTTGCTGCTTTAAAGATTCTTTATCTTTGGCCTCTGACAATTTAATTATAATATAATGTGTTTTGGTATGGACCTTTCTTTGAGTTTATCCTTTTTGGAGTTGAGCTCCTCGGGTGTACACATTCATATCTTTTGGTAAATCTGGATGGTTTTGGCAATTATTTCTTCAAACACATTTCTGTACCTTTCACCTTCTCTTTTCCATGATGCATATGTTGGTGGTACACTTGATGGTGTCGTGTCCCACACATCTCTTGCGCTCTATTTGTTTTTCTTCAATCTTTTAAATTTGTGTTCCTCAAACTGTATAATTTCAACTGACCTATCCTTGAGTTCACTGATTCTTTCTTCTGTATCTGTTGAATTCCTCTAGTGGATTTTTCATTTCAATTATTACAATTTTCTGCTCCAAAATTTCTATTTGATTCCTTTTTAAAATTGCTATCCCTTTATTGATACTCTCTATTTGCTGAAACATCATTCTCCTGGATTTCTTTAGTTCTTTGCCTATGGTATCCTTTAGTTCTCTGAGCATATTTGAGAAAGTTGATTTGAAGTTTTTGTCTAGTAAGTCTAATGTTTGTGCTTCCTCAGGGGTAGTTTCTGTTAAATTTTTTTCCCTGTGATGAGGCATACTTTCTAGTTTCTTTGCATGCTTCATAATTTTTTGTTGAAAACTGGACATTTTGGATGTGTAAAATAAATCAAAAAACAAAAAACAAAAAAAAAAAAAGAAAAGAAGGAAAAGGGAAAGAAGAGAAGAGGAAAGAAAAGAAAAAAAAAATGCTCCTAGGTCTTTGTTGATTGGCTATTGGGGCACTCCTTCAACAATCAGCCATAACATTTACAAATCTGCCTTAACCTTCACTTCCTCCTTGTGTTGAGCCTAAAGACCAGCCAGAGGTGAAAGCTAATGGTCTTCTCAGGTCTTTTCTGAGCATACATGTTGCCCTGAGCATCCACATGGCCTTCTAGGTTCCCCATACACAGTAGCTTTTCAAAGCCCCTATTCCCCCCAAAAAGCTCACTCAGCAGCTTTTCTTCTGAGGCTTCCCACGTGTCTATTGTTTGTCCCAATTGTCATTTTTTTTGCCCCAGGTGGCAGTCCTGTGGGGAAACCCCAAGTCAGATCAAAACAGACAAATACAATCCCTTAGGAAGATAGTCTGCTCTGCTCTTTCTGAAACCAGGTACCCCAACAGAACACAGGCTGCCATCCTGAAGACTGTAGCCATGCCAAGGAGGGAGGTGGGACTAGGGTAAATTAAAACACTACAAAGATCACCCATCCTGTTTCAGCGCCCTTTCTCCTGGCTAAGAGTTTGGTTGGTATAAACATTTGACTATCTTTCCAGAGTTCTGGTAAGCTTGATTCTGACAGTTTTGCCAAATTTTTTGGTGTTTCTGCAGAAGGATGGCCCCTGGAAGCCCCTCCTCTGCCACTTTTGCTGGTATCACCCTTTCACTGTGGTTTTAGTTTGCCTTCCCTGATACTAATAAAGCTAAACTTTTTTGTATATATTTACCAGCCATTCAGATTTCTTCTCTTTCATGTCTCTTCTTCTCTTCTTTCATGTCTTTTTGTCCACTTTGCTACTCAACTGACTTTCTAATTGCCTTAGCATCTACTGAACTGACTTTCTAACTGCTTTAGTATCTTTTTTAAAAATTCTATGTTTTAATAGTTACTTGCTAGTAACAGAAATATAACTGATTTTTGTATACTGACCTTAATATACAGAAAATTTGAACTCTTAGTAATTCTAGTAATTTGTGTACACAGAAAACTCAAAAGCATATACAATCGCATCATCTGAGAAAAATAACTATTTTGTTTCCTTCCCAATCCGTATCTTTTCTTTTCTTCTTATCTAATTGTACTAGCTATAATAGAATCTGCAATACAGTATTGAAAGGAAGCAATGATAGCAG